AAGGAACATAATACATAACATACATTACATTCATTAGCCAACTTAAGTATTTTTATAATTTTTTTTTAATTTTTATATTTGTTAATTAGCTTTCAGTACAACTATGATGAGGTAAAATTTTAATAGATATCATTTTTATTGTACGTCTATATCCTCTGGATTTAACAAATCATTTAGATTACTTCCCTTCATATCATTTTTCTACGTTATGCCGTTGTACTGCTGCTGCCATTACATCAAATAAATAAATAATTGCGGTAGTATCAAAACATTCTCCTGAATCTGCAAAAAGTGGAGGCATTTTTCTATAAAAATCGTAAGATATCGATAGAATAAAAATATATGAACTCTAAAGTAGAAGCATTAAATATCTAATGACATTAACATTAATAGGATATTTTTAATAACTTTGCCCAAGTGCACCACCACAGACACTCCCCAAGCTGTGGTCAAAAACATAGGTCAAGGAGACCTGTCTCTTACTGAACAGGTTTATTTAAAAATTCAACTAGTGGAATGATGAATTTTTGTTTATTTTGTTTTCTCTATTAGAATGCTGCTGAATGTCTAAGTATTTTAAATTGGGATGAACAGCAAGAAGATAAGTAACAATTTTTGGGGCTAAAAAGTCTGCCTATGAACCTTCGTCCTTTACATATTCGCTAGTTTTATTTTTCTTTTTCTTTACAAGTCCTATGAACAGGTAACTACAATTCACCTCTGTAGAATTATAGTTAGTGTAATTACTGGTTTGAAATAAATAAACATTAGGTGAATAACTAAACCATAATACTACTTAAATTGGAATTGTAAATATAGAAATAATCAAAATTCTTGCCTTTGTTTCTGACAGATTTAAACAGCCCAATTTATTCATATTTGATAATTTGACAAGAGATTTGTCTGTAACTTTAAAACAGCCTCCAATGTCTAGGCCAATTAAGTTTGGATTATTTTCGAAGAGAATATTACAAACATTATCATCAATTGCATCACAATGGGATGCCTTAACTATACTAAGTTTGTGCATTTTAGAGAAAAATTTAACCAATCCTTAAAAACAAAGTCTTATTATTAAAACATACCTATTATTAAAATACCAACAATTTCATTTATATGATAAAATAGTTACCTTTACTTGTTAATGAGTGGACTCCAACATACATCAAAGTTAAATCACTTAATTCACTACATTTTTCAATTATTTCTAATATCTCGTCGTCAACTACTATACAGGTAAGATCAATATGTTTTACATTTTGATGAACTAACAGTGAAAGGATCTTCTTAAGGTTCACATTTCTCCAAAAATGTGACGAAACGGTAAATTTACTTAATAAACGATCCTTTACGTTATTTGGTAGGTATGCTAAACCCTCTCTATTTAATTTAACTATTTCTGCTATATTATTTATTGTATAATTAATACATCTGTAACAAGAATCACTAATTTCTGCTATATGCAATAAAAGAATTTAAAGAATACATACATATGTACTTAAAACTAAAAATTCTTTCAATTAAAACAAATTAAAATATTTCAATAAATTATATTTTAGAAACATTTATAAATAAATTAACCTCAAAAAAATACTTACATGGATTTTAACGATTTCATTTGAAAATTAAAATTTCTGGTCATATTTGTACTCAATAGTTATCTAAAACGAACCACACGCAAACGTAAGCAACATAAACCTGAAAGATTATTTACCACCGTGTTTATATTAGAAAAAGCTAATTATAAATTCATAACATGTCACGTTTTATACCTGAATTAAATATTATTGTAAATGGAATTGAACAAGGAACATAATACATAACATACATGCATTTAAATATTAAAATCTGACATGTAAACAAGAAAATGGCTAAGATATCAGCTGCCGTATCTTGCCGCGAGCTACGGAACCAGTTCTGATGAAATAAATATAGAATTAAATCATCTTATTAATGTTATGAAGAATGATAAAAAAGGTGTAATTATTTCATCATACGTATAATTGTTTTTTTCATCTTTTAAGAATTACGAAGTATAAATACATAAAGATAATTAAATTGAGGATGTCAATAGGTTTCCTACGTTTACAGTTGAGTAAAAATACTGTCCTGTTTAACAGTGATGCCTTTTTGGTGTTAAGTTTGACCCATAATTTTAGGTTGGTGGCAGTTTGTATCCTGAAACGAGTTGTAATGTTGTTAAAGAAACCCATGGTGTCCAAAAATAAAGTTGATCTTAGTAACTACCGTACTAGTTGAATTAAAGATAATTAAGTTAAGGATTATTATATTTAATTCAACTAGTATAGTAGTTACTAACATCAACTTTATTTAATAATACATAATATAAAAATCCCTGACGTTTATTTTTGTTAATTTACACTATGCTCTTATTCGTAATTTCAATTGAACTTACGAAAAGCTTATTTTTTATAGGCAATAAAAAATATACTATATTTTTTGCGTTATACTGACAAAACAATGTAAAATACAAGATTTTATTCTTTTTGGGGAAAAATTCGTATTAAATAGTTTTCTCTATTTTGAAATAAAAAAATTGTACTGTGCATCATTTGGTCTCAAAAAAGGTTTTAAGATAAATTTACGTTTCTAATTTATTTTTCTATTCATTCCTGTTGAAATAATTTGAAACCAAAAATTACTTGTAAGTTGTTTATTTGGTTGTTACAATAGATAATGTTGCTATAGCGCCACTACTTATTGGTTTTGATGTCAAAAAAATATTGTGTTTTATACGAATTCATATTTGTTTTTTAAAATCTAAAATGCTAATAAATCGTAATTGGTATGTAATAGTATTACATTGACAATAGCATGGGTACAGTAAAATACTTTTATTTTATTAAAAAGCATTTTTTCCACCGAAGAGTGTATTACGTGTGTTGTTAATTTGATAACCTCAAAAGGCTTGAGGTGATAACCTGATAACACATGAATGTTTTGTTTTTACGTTAATGTTTTGTTATTCATGATTTCAATGTACAAATATGCTGCCGGAAAATCGTATAGCATGTTGGATGTCAGATAAAAAACTATGCAAATTTAAATGGAATGAATTTAAACAATACTTTGAACAATATGGGTACAATGTCTTTTTAGTAAGTAAAAAGACAAAATATACATTTTATTTATTAAATTGAGACATTCTAGTTGGATTTAAATTCAAATATAGAGTCTCAGGGACCGTTCTCAGTTTTCCTCCACAAAATGACTGATTTTATAGCTCTAGAAAAGCAGGGAGACTTTAAGGTAGGTTTGCTAATTGCTGGGTTTACTTTGTTATTATTATTGTATTTACGATTATAATTGTGTTTAAGAGTGCTGCAATCATGCATACAATAGAAAATTATTTATCAAATCATCCTGAAATAGTTATAATTGATCCATTCAGCTCAATCCGTCAATTACTAAGTAGATATACAGCTTATAGCATAATCAACAACAGCAGTCTTCATAAGTATGGAATATTTACTCCTAATTTTTGTGAAATTACTTCGGATGACAGGGATAAAATGAAGCAAGAATTGGAAATGGCTGGTGTTACATTCCCATTCATTTGCAAGCCTATGCTGGGGCATGGATCAAAAGAGGCCCATCGTATGGCCATCATTTTCAACAAAAATAACATAAAAGACTGTAAACCACCATGTGTTGCACAGAGTTTTGTCAATCATAATGCTGTACTTTATAAAATATTTATCGTTGGTGAAAAGCATCATTTTGTACAGAGACCATCTTTGAAGAATTTTTATGCTGATGAGAATCAACAAACAATATTTTTTGAAAGCAGTGATGTGTCAAAGGCTGGAGCACAAAGTAGTTTATGTATACTGGACAGTGAAGAAAAAATGATTTGCCCTGTTCTTCTTGATCCAAGTGTTCTACATAAAATTGCTTGCACTCTTCGTAAAGCTTTTAAAATGGAATTGTTGGGAGCTGATGTTGTTATCGATAATAACTCTGGAAAGTATGGAATCATTGATGTCAACGCTTTTCCAGGTAATTAAAAAAAGTTATTTGGAGGTTTTCTTGCTAAAAAAAAATAAACTTCAAAAAATTGCAAGTTAGTATCTTTTCCAAATTTTTTTTTTTTCATCGCCATATCGTTCGCTCAGCATTTTTACCCCTCATATCGCCTAAAAGCAATGTTGGTATTGTACAAGACCATTTACATCCTTTCTGACCGTCACTATAGTCACATAAGGTAAACTTAAAAAAAAAATTAAATATGTATTAATTGCTTATTTCCTTTTTACTCCAAATACAACAAATTTTACTAAATAACAATCTTTGATTAACTGAAGTGAAGAAGCTTTCCGTGCTGAACTGTTGTGATCTACATTTCCTTTGAGCCTTGTTATTCTAATTTTTTCATTCTTCTTATTTTAGGATATGATGGTTTTCCTCACTTTATTGAAAGTTTATTTGAATGTGTTCATAATAAATTGAAGGCCAAAATAACACACAACGGACATATATCATTAGATCTTAAGAATAATGAACATTCCATGTAGATTTTAACTTTATAATAATATTTATTTAATGTGAAACTTACTAAATGTCAGTTTTGGTTGATATTGTATGTATTTAATATAGTTCATTTTATTTATTTTTTATGTAAGTATTAGTACTTTCAAGAACTACGTTTTCTCCAGTAATTTTTCCTAATTTGATTTTACTGATTAGTTTATTAGCCAAAGAAAGTGTTTTAATTTGTTCAATGTTTTTATGCTAATATGAACNTACAATTTTCTTTTGTACACAAGCGATTCGACTTTCATCCACGCGGAGATCCTAGATAGAGCAACTGCTGAAAAAAAAAGTTCCCAGTCATACGAACGTTTTTGTAATGGATTCGAAAAATTCAAATCATAATTTTTAACGTATTTTGTAATTTTAAGGTTACAATACCATTTCTAGATAATTTAGAGATGATGTACAAGCAGTAATAAGAATATGATCTAAAGAAAAATTCATAAACAAAAAGACTGAAAAAAAATAAATTTGGGGATTTCTTGAAAAAATGTTTATTTATTATTATAAGACTACTTATCTCCTCAAAGGCTAAATTACAAATATACGTTTTTGTGTACAGCTTTTCACTGCAATCTCGACCAACTTAAAGAAAAGGTTTTACATAATTGTGAAAAGGCGGTAAATTTAAGCTTTCTCTCGGATGACAGAAATTCACCTTACGCCATTGAAGCTAATATGAATCAAATTAATTCGTCAGGTTCTATCAAAGTTAAAGCCAAAACCAACATTTACTAAGTCATTTGTAAAAATCCGCAAAATTGTTCCATTTTACAACAATACATACATTTGTCAGCTTATGTTTATAAATCCTAACAGAATATAAGCCTAGTAAAAATGTGTGCTCAACAAATTTTATGTATATGAAATTCAGATGAAAATAAAGAGACGATTTATAGTTCATAAAATTTATTTAAATCTAATTAATAATTATAAAAAACCGTCAATTGTAAAATATACAAGTTTCATAAACAATAATTTCTGTGTTTAAAAAAAAATAAATCTAAAAGCGTATACGGTAGATCTATTATCAGCCCATTAGTTGCATAAAATATATTGTGCTGATGATTTATTATTCACACAGGCTGAACATGGACCTTAATTAATAATTGGTCTTTGTCAACGAACCCTTCTGAACACAGATCTTGAATTAAGGCAAATTCTGTATAACCGAATCCTCGAGGATTCAACTCCTGTTTGGGCTTTTTAAATGCTTCCAACTCCGGTCTAGTCATCATCGTTTCCTTTATATTTTGTTCCAAATTACTAAACACGCAATAATTAACAGAAAAAATAGACACCACAGATTTTGTACCTTATCAAATATTTTAGAAATACATACACCCTACACCCCTACCAAAGTGTCACCATAAAGACCCTTTACTTATTTACTTACTTTTTGGTACAGAACCCAAAAAAAAAAAACAAAAACTTACACGGGATGAACAACGGTGATACTTATTTTTCCATTAAAGGGCCAATCTAAGCTGTTGTCGTGGTCTGTTTTCATCATGTGAATGAAAATTGCTAGATAATTAGGATTTTTGGGAGACAAGTTGAGTCGTATGCACAACCTTTATAGAACAAAAAAAATACACAAATATTAATAGGGCTCTATTTTTGAAAATGAAAGATCACATTTGTTACTTATAGCCAAATGGAGATGTTTGAAATCCTGGACTGTAGCACATCATGTGACTATTATTGCTCATTCGCGTAATTTTAGTTTTAAAATCTGCTACAGGCCATAAAAAGCTTCCAAAGCAAAATTTTGTCGGTACTGTTGAAATTAGTAAATTACAAGACGAAATCTGTTCCGACATGTTTGCTATAATAATATCCTGTTCTCTGGTTTTTTGTTCTAAAATTATTATCTTCTCATAAAGCGACCTATAACAGGATAAATTAGTAATTGTATGAAATACATTGCAATCAAAATAAGTGGTTATTATTGAGACTTTGGTATTGTTGCTATTGAGAATGTATTCTTTGAGAATCACATAAATGTAATCATATAAAGGCATTCAGAAAAATTTATTATGAAAATGAGAGGAAAAGGATTTTGCAACCCAAAAATCTTAGTAACTTTGTACTTGTCCATCGTTTGTTTCATAGTTTCTTATATTATTTATCGCATGCACTAAAAAAATTTGGAAGTTGAAGCAAGAAGCGAGATGTACAGACTTATTACAAAAATCTATTTGGCATGTTTCACAAAAATTGCTGAGAGAAAGCAGATCAGTATTATTATATATCTTACTCCATATTGCAAAACAAACTAGACAACCACAAGGCAATTAAAACGATAAATGATGAAAGCATAAATTAATTTTGATAAATCTACCAATAATTTTTATAAAGTATTATACTTTAATTTGTGCCATTTTAAAACCTTGAATAACTATTAAAGAGCTTTTACCCGTGTATACATTTCAATAAATAAATATTAACTGTATAAAATCTTATCTACTTATTTTTTATTTGAGAATAACAAAAATGGGAGCAGCACTTACTTTATAAGAGATTCATTTGAACTATTCACATGTTCATCAACCAAACCGTTGCTTCCAATTTTTGCAGGGGGATCCCAAAAATTAGCTTGCTGTGCCAAAGCATTACTGGACGTCGATTGATCAATTATAAATTTACTGTATGCTTGTGAAAGAAGCTGAACAATACATAAAAATGAAAAAAAAAGCAAACATGCTTTTAATTAAGTGCAAAATATACATATCAGTTTTATTAACATGCAGCATCTCTTTCTCATAATTAGTTCAAAATATAATATATAAACTTACATTTAGATGATTGTGGATGTTTTTTTCTAAGTGTTCCTTTACTTCTACTTCATTTTCAAATTTTTCTATACAACCAACAGCAACAAAGTTGCATCGCAACTTTTCATTATCAGGGAGCTCTGGAATTCTGTATTTACAAATCTGAAGGTGATATTCAATGTCCAAAGGAGATAATTCCTTTAAACATCCTCTTACAACGTTAGGGCACTTTGTCTTCTGTTGGGAAATTTCCCTTCTTGTAAAATTATCTGGGAATATGTCAGTGTCTTTATTCAATTTTGTTTTATCAACAGGACAATCAGTATCTTTCCTGTAACAATTATTTCTTAAAAAGGAATCTAATGTAATGGCTTGCTAAAACATACTCTAGCCAAGAATAAATGCATTTTCTGCAAAATCTATGACCGCATGAAGTAAGTACAGGATCTCTGAGCCATGTCAAGCATATTGGACATTCAAATCTTGCCTCTGGTACTTGAGTATCATCTTCTACAAGACAATTTTCTTCAGGCTGGTCAAAATTTTGAGAATTGTACGTTGCCATTTTGCACTTTTCACTTAAGAATAATACGTAAACAATAAGAAAAGCATAACAGTATATTTTTAAAAATGAATTTACATTAATACAAATATAAGTTAACCAACAGTAAAAAAAAATGGGTGTGAGTAGACAGTGCACAAAATATGAGCAAATGTAAGGTTAACTTGTTTATGTTAACGTCAGATATGCGTCAGACCATAGACAATAGATATATTTAGTTAGGGGTAAGCATTGAAGTGGGTAAGTCAGACTACACCATAGATTAAGATTATAATACACCATAGATCATAGTCATAGAACATAGAATTAAGGGTTTACATCAGCGCACAATAATGAAGCGTAAGTGTTAAATTATAGTTAAGCATTCGGGAAAATACCCGATTGATTCTGCGTGCCTGACGTGCGAATGATTACAAATCGGTCGAGACAGCAATGACTTCCACGGCAGATGGCAGTGCAAATAGTCACTATTCATTGAGTATATGTATATCCAATTCTAAGCATCCTATATTACAAAGTTGCCAAAAAGACAAACCATAGGTATTTTTAGGAATATCACATAAAAAGAAAGACACGGCAACGACAAGATTTATTTCGTGAAGTTTGCGAATTTTGACAAAAACGAACAATAAATTCAAAATGCCCACAGAGGGTGCCGACAAGGTCTAAGCAGTCTAAGCTGCTGGCGCACTTAACAGACCGATGAGATACTAATCTGTTGAGTGTTAGTCTAGCCAAACCAATGTGATCCTATTCTGGATTACAAAATGAACTTGCAAAAGTATGCGTCCAGTAACACCCCGAACCAACTGTTCTCATCTGCCACAGTTTCATCAAATTGTATGATAGGCTACCTCAGAGCTTCGTAGGAATTGGTGAAACGTAGGCTGCAAACTGGGAAGATTAAACTCTTAGCTGCGGCAAGAAATCCTTGCAGAGTGCGGAGAACTGCGATATTATCATAATACTGGGATTAGTTCTTTCCATGATTTTTGTGACGAGGAAGTGGAAAATGCTAACCATATCATTGCTTAGGGGTCATCCATAAAATACGTCACACTGGTTTTGTGATTTTTTGACCCCTCCCCGTTCATTCCACAGTTTGTCACATTTGTAAGACTCCCCCCTCTCTAATGTGAAGTCTCGTATTTTGCAATTTTACATTTACAAATTGTTAAATTAAAGCAGTTCCGAAATTACTGTAGTTCGTAAGCTTTCACGGCCGGTGTATATCGATGTGGTGTTTTTTTCTGGGCTTTTAGGCCGTGGTCCGTGGAATTTTACTTTCTCAAACGTTTCGCCGTTCTTTGCTGAAATGATGAAGATGCCGTCAGCAAAGAACGGCGAAACGTTTGAAAAAGTAAAATGCTAAGGACCACGGCCAAAAAGCCCGGAAGAAAACACCTCATCGAGTTCCGAAATTAGTTTTATTTCCATTTAAATTATTTTTTAATATAATCAACATCAAATCAAAAATTTAAAAAAATTAACAAAACAATAAATTAAAATCATATTAACGGAAGTTACAAATTTAATCATCTTGAACCCATAGACTTTAAACCCACTCCTAAAAATTATTTATAACCGGCATAGCAGTCACTTCGTGCTCTCGTTTGGGTTGTTAATGTCAGAAAAATTCGATGTGTCAACAACTTTTTCATCCAATCGTACAGCATCATCGTCATCATCCAAACAAAGAATTTCTCTGGCACGTCTAGTAGCAATTCTTTGAGGAGGAATCTTTGCGATGGTCAAAACTTCTTGTTGCCTCTTGTATGATGGCTTGTGTTGATTAGTGGCCTTGTATGATGCAAAATGTAGACCACAGATGCCACACAATCGCTTAAATAAGTATATAAAATATTGAAATGTGACGTCACGAAACGTAGGACCCCTCCCATCCCTTGTCACACAGTGTCACATTTCGTCGACCCCTCCCCCCTCTTAAGGTGTGACGTACTTTATGGATGATCCCTTACTGGTCTATTTTTTAAACTGATACGTTCTAGAAGGAGAACATGTTTCCTCCCTCGATATCGAAATGATTCTTTTCTTTTGGAAAGAAAACATTGGAGCATAAGCGGAAACGGCAGAGAAGTATTAACCGTAATTTCGGAGGTTTGAACAAAAATAATGATAATCTTGCTTTTTTACACAACTTCGCAACAACGTAAAATTTTTTCTTCATAAGACCTATGTATTATAATTATATGTAGGTATGTATATATTACCTAATATATACTAATTGTGAGCAAAAAAAACGGGAGTAGTTTCATTCCATTATATTAGTCTATTGACGGGTAGTCCGTCCGTACTACGTCGAGGAGTGTGTCGGAAGACCCTCTGGTAATGGTTTGAAAAACGTAAGTGAAAGATAATTTCTGGAATATCATTTCATCAATATTTGTCTACATAATCCATGGAAACCACAGAAAAACTTAAGACTAGCCTACAGTTAGGTAGGTACCTAACAAAAAAAATAAAAAGACAAATTATTAAATTTTCACCTATGTTCATTATTTGTGAATCGTTTGCGACATAAACGATTCCGTTTTTAATTAATTAGTTAATTAGTCGGTAATTAATTTAATATTTAAGAGCTTTTAATTAGGCAATACTTTTTTAAAATGAATTGTTAAATGGACTCCGGGTACTCAACCGATCGGAAATCGTTTGTGAATATTGAATACGTAAAGGAAAATGTTTGAGGAAAAACGAAAAATAAATGCCCTTTAGTGTAACGATAATTTTATAGTAAAAATAACACTGCCATGTTCATTGATGAAAGCATACCTACTTATATTTTCTCTTGTCTAATTATGTGTTGGTCATCGCACTGTTCGAAGTTTTTTGTGGTTTTCGTGGATCAGCTAGGCAAATTATCTTTTGTCTTCATTTCGTCTAACTTATCTTTCTCTTCCCAATCCTCTCACTTACCCATTCCGATGATTCTTAGGAGGCAGAGGAGGATCTTCCGCCCTATTCTACAGCTTTGCACTAGAATGTAAGTCCGAGGATCTGTTAACTACCTAGCATTAATAACTGGTAAATACGCAAATGCATTTTTACCGTTTGTGGATGTCGACAGCAAGCAGGCTCACTAGGCTGTGTTAACATTTGTTAATAATGTTGGTAAATCGGCAAACAGCAAATCTTATGTAGTTCGTCTAATAATATATTTTGAAATTCAATGGATTCAAAGAACGATTCTTGTTTTAATGGTTCGATAAGTTGCTGCTCCATCATTTGCGACAATTTTTCATTGGATTATTTAGCTAGCTAACGAGGGGCGTAGAAGAGGGGGGTGCAAAGGGGGCCATGGGCCTCGGGCTGCGCAAATGTAGGTGCAACAAAAATGTTTTCTTCGGTGTTAGATAGAATCAGGTCCGCGGCACAGTAATGTTAGATGTTCCAATTTCTTGGTATTTATACTTTTATATTTTTAATAATTTCTACATTACCGTCTTGGTTCGCAAAAATACCAAGATTTAGTGTTGATAAAAACCTCTGAAAAGTAACTGTCTTGTATCTTAAAGCAGAAACAGGAATCGTCTGGAGGACTATAGATTTTGCCTATTATATTAAAAACAACTCACCTTTATATTCTATTTACATTTAGCACTACATAATATTAAACCTCATAAGTATCTTCAGCAAAATGATGTAGAATCGTGAATGATTGAAACTTTAAAACATTGCAAAGAAGAAAACTTATGTACCTAGCGACAATAAAAATACTGAAGTCATAGAAAGTGACGGTATAATCTCCCTGAACAAGGAAAATCTTTACAATTTTTTGTTAATCTTGAGATGGATTCTCAAAATCCTTTTCCTATTTTGAATTATGTCTGTAAATGAAGTACGTTATGTGAAACCTTTGCAAATTAACACTTTAAATTGAAATTAATTATTTTGTTGAAATTTACAATTTTCTTTTGTACACAAGCGATTCGACTTTCATCCACGCGGAGATCCTAGATAGAGCAACTGCTGAAAAAAAAAGTTCCCAGTCATACGAACGTTTTTGTAATGGATTCGAAAAATTCAAATCATAATTTTTAACGTATTTTGTAATTTTAAGGTTACAATACCATTTCTAGATAATTTAGAGATGATGTACAAGCAGTAATAAGAATATGATCTAAAGAAAAATTCATAAACAAAAAGACTGAAAAAAAATAAATTTGGGGATTTCTTGAAAAAATGTTTATTTATTATTATAAGACTACTTATCTCCTCAAAGGCTAAATTACAAATATACGTTTTTGTGTACAGCTTTTCACTGCAATCTCGACCAACTTAAAGAAAAGGTTTTACATAATTGTGAAAAGGCGGTAAATTTAAGCTTTCTCTCGGATGACAGAAATTCACCTTACGCCATTGAAGCTAATATGAATCAAATTAATTCGTCAGGTTCTATCAAAGTTAAAGTCGAATAATTTATTATTTAGATATTAAAAAACAACATCTATAACATTAAATCCTGCGTTGCTGGCTGGATTTTTGTTTTTCTAAATTTCTTTATATGAATATTTTTATTTGTCATGCATTACTGTTTTAAAGCTATTGTATGAATACTGTTTCCTGTATATAAACTGTACAGATGTCAATTATTTATGTGCAAATGTTCTGTACATTTTTGGAAGTTGTCGGACAGTACACTGGGCGAGAATTTTTTAAACAATATTTTTAAACAAACTGCTGAAGTCATTTTTTTGTATTAGACAAAGCTTTTTAGGTTCTATGCTCAACCCACAGGCTGAAACTAATAAGTTGAAATTGTAGAAATACAGAGAAATGCATCACAAGTTGCAGAAAAGCCTTTTTAATAAAATATTTAGTACGGACCTGTTCTTTGGCGAATACGATGTTCCATTATCAAAATGAAACATGACCTCAAAATGTAATTTTCGAAGTGAAATATGTCTATTTTATGGTCATTTTGTATGCGTTTGTGTTGTTTACTCCGACAGTGTGATAGTGCAATTTGATGGTATCATTATGTGAAATTTTTAATTTTATTGTTAAAAGTCAATAAACAGATGGTTTGTAATTGTGCAGCGGAAGAACACCAAATTAAAACATATTTTTTTTTAAAAACATTTAAGTATTTTCTACCTTATTTCAAAGATATTACAGATTTTGCTAGTTAAGATTATTCTAATTTTAAAATCTTTATCCCTT